CTATGATTAAGCCCTGCACAGGTAAAAATACGTTAGAGAGGCTCTTTCTTGATGGGTGGGTAGACCTCCTTTAAAGCAGGGTATACACATTCAGTTTTTTTGTTCAACCAGTGGACTAAACAAAAAAATGTAAAAACTTGACAGATCCCTGCATCAACACAAATGATGTTTATGCAGGGATTATATTCTGACAGCAGGGGATCCCTGATCCCCTCCAGAATACACAAATCGGCATTGCAGCCATTGACTGCAGGCACTGATCGGATGCTGGTTTTCCAATAGTTCCATTCGACAGAAGTCAGTCGTTGGATCATCTTCTGTTGAACAGACAGCAGTATACAAGGACTGAAATTCAACTGATTCCTGCTGAACTGACCGATTTTAGGTCTATTTAAACCCTACTCTGATTTGAAGTCTGGCCAGTGTTTTGGGATGTGATTTACCTTATGGGCTTTGCTGCCATTAATTAAAGTGTAGACTGACCACTGATATTTCAGCTGGTTTCTTAGTGGTCTAGTACTTGATAGCTGGTCATTGAATCATGCAGAAATTTAAAGAGGTGCACAGTCCAATCCGTTCTGATGATATTCTAACATGCCAACTGACTACTAATAACAAATAGAATCTGAAAGATATGTTTTTGCCATCCTGAACTGCAATATCAAACGAAAAGATATAGATTTTTTATTTTTACTTTACCTCAGATTTAAAAAAACACATCTACTAAAATCTCATATAAGCTTTAACGTTTTTTTACATGTCGGCAGAGTTGGAGCTCAACTACTATTCAACATCACTGCGTTTGGATGTGCGCCAAGAAAGAATCTAAAAAGGTGGTCTTGATTATCATTGGTGGTTCTTGCAGTTTGGTACTCCTCAAAAAAGGATGACCTTTCTAGCCAGTCAATAATATCTTTCAAGGGACTAAGTTGATGATGGAAGCATACAGTAATAGACCAAAACTGTAGCGGTCATTCTTATTTGCAGTCATTTGGGCCTTTTGTGCATTTGTGATGGTAAGATTTTTCATCCTATGGTAGTGGATGAGGAAGGGTGTTGGTCGTCGCAGGGGCAGCACAACAGGAAACTGCTGGTCTCTTATTTTTTTTCAACCTGCAACTAGACAGTGTATAGGTAAAAATGGAGCTTGTCAGGATGGAAATGGGGAGGCTGCTAGTTCTGATTTGTTTTAAAGGTGAAGACTCTAGAAAAGGCATCCTTGTTCTTCACTACTACAGAGTCACCGACCTAGAACAAGGATGCAGGATAAAAGATCACTAACTGCTTCTAGTTCCTAGTCAGTGATTCAGCATGTATTAAGGCCAGGTTCATGATGCCAGACCCGGAGCCTGCACCTCTATAACATGTCACTATTAGAAATTGTAAAAATAAAAACAAAAAAAAAACCCCTAAAAAACATTCCTATATATAGTTTCTCTGCTGCTACTGCTGTAAGCTGCACTTACCCTGGACCCCAGTTTTACAGTCATGTCAGGGTGGTTAATTTGTTTGGTACTGTACGGAATGATGAAAATGAGGGAAAAAAAAATATCTTTAGGTGGGAATAAAGCTGTTCTTTAACCTTAACAGAAAAGAATGGGTTATAAAACAAAAAAAACACAACAAAAAAAAAAACTCCATTTATACTCACCTAGATGGACGCAGCATCAATTCAATGCTGCATCTATCCCCCACCACCTCGAAAGCTGAGAATTGAGTGACCACGATGGCTGATCGCTCGGTTTTTTGTCTTCAGGGAACAGAGAGTAGTGACTGTCAGTCACCAGCTCTCTGCTCTGCCCCTCAAGCACTTATTGGAGTGCCGGACTGTGAGGGGGCGGGAACAGCTCACTGAGAGGCTGAGCCAGCTGCCAGTCCAGGCATCTGGACCAACCCCGACATTAAATTCAGGATTCCTCCGGAGTCTGGACTGGCTGACTGAGTGGTATCAGCTGACAGTGGGCTGCCCTGTAACCCACAGAAGTAGGGCCAAGACAGCTTTCAATCTACTTCTCCTTTAATTGGACCCTATTTAATTGAAAAAGAAATAATAATTCAAATATATCTGGTAACCCCTGCAGTTTCTCTGACTGTGCTTTTGGCACTGGTAGTTGGGAAGCCTGGGATCCTGCAGTGCACCCTTTTCATATAACTCCAGCTTGGAGTTATATGAAAAGTCACTTATGCTCCATCTGTGTAACGGAACTTGTGCCGCAATGAACGGAGCTCCTCGCATATCATGACACAAGTCAGCCCTTTCCTCTTGAGGCGATATTCTTGGAGCTCACTTGTCTGCTCAGATAGGACCTCGGTTTATTTTTGAGCACCAGGAACCTGTTACTGTACCATTTCTCTGTATATGTACTACGTATCAGTGGGTTAGATAATTCTACCATTTATATGATTTACCTTTACATGGGGGGGATTTACTTGAAAAATCTTGCAAAAAAAGTTTTTCACATCTTTTGAAGATATAGTTATATTATTTATTTGTATACAGGTATTGGAACTTTTGCATGTTTTGTGTATTCTTTCTCAGAACATTCAGCATGGGCTAGGGGTGGACTGACAACTCATACAGACCTACCTGTCAGAGGGGTCTCCATACATACCTACCTATCAGAGGGGTCTCCATACTGACCGACCTGTCAGAGGGGTCTCCATACAGACCTACATATCAGAGGGGTCTCCATACAGACCTACCTGTCAGAGGGGTCTCATACATACCTACCTGTCAGAGGGGTCTCCATACTGACCTACTTGTCAGAGGGGTCTCCATACAGATCCACCTGTCAGAGGGTCTCCATACAGACCTACCTGTCAGAGGGTCTCCATACAGACCTACCTGTCAGAGGGTCTCCATACAGACCTACCTGTCAGAGGGTCTCCATACAGATCTACCTGTCAGAGGGGTCTCCACACAGACCGACCTGTCAGAGGGGTCTCCACACAGACCGACCTGTCAGAGGGGTCTCCACACAGACCGACCTGTCAGAGGGGTCTCCATACAGACCGACCTGTCAGAGGGGTCTCCATACAGACCGACCTGTCAGAGGGGTCTCCATATAGACCGACCTGTCAGAGGGGTCTCCATACAGACCTACCTGTCAGAGGGGTCTCCATACAGACCGACCTGTCAGAGGGGTCTCCATACAGACCGACCTGTCAGAGGGGTCTCCATACAGACCGACCTGTCAGAGGGGTCTCCATACAGACCGACCTGTCAGAGGGGTCTCCATACAGACCGACCTGTCAGAGGGGTCTCCATATAGACCAACCTGTCAGAGGGGTCTCCATACAGACCTACATATCAGAGGGGTCTCCATACAGACCTACCTGTCAGAGGGGTCTCCATACAGACCTACCTGTCAGAGGGTCTCCATGGACTCATCTTTGTTATGGATGCACTATTTTCATGGGTCTTATTGTCTAAGGCTCCATGCACACGGGGCGTTTTAATAATGCTGGTAGCGTTAGCGGTGTAAAGTCATGTTAAAAACGTGAGTTTTTTCATTAGCGTTTAGCGGTGTTTTCCTGAGTTTGCGCTTTTTTTATTACCCAAAAAAAAATTTTTTTTGGACCTCGGTTTATTTTTGAGCACCAGGAACCTGTCACTGTACTATTTCTCTGAATATGTACTACGTATTGTGGGTTAGATAATTCTACCATTTGTATGATTTTCCTTTACATGGGGGGGATTTACTTGAAAATCATGCAAAAACAGTTTTTCACATCTTTTGAAGATACACACAGTTGTATTATTTATTTGCATACTATTGCATGTTTTGTGTATTATCTGTCAGAACATTCAGCATGGACTCATCCTTGTTATGGATGCACTTTTTTCATGGGTCTTATTGTCGAAGGCTCCATGGACACGGGGCGTTTTAATAACGCTGGTAGTGTTAGCTGTGTAAAGTCACGTTAAAAAAAAGTGAGTTTTCCAGCGTTCTTTCATTAGCGTTTAGCAGTGTCTTACCGAGTTTGCATTTTTTATTACCAAAAAAGAAGAAAATGTATTTTGCTCAAAAATACAAAAACGCTGGTTTGCCACGATTTACTGCGTTTTGCCGTGTTTTTCAGTGTTAGAGCATTTTTACAGCTAAAAAACTCCTCTAGAAACCCACTAGTCCTGGGTTTTTTTTCCAGCCAAACAATTCTGATTACAGTCTATGTGTGCATGGGCACATAGGATATCATGCTGGGGGGAGTTTACTGGCTGTAGAAAAAAACATCAAAAAACAAAAAAACAGCAGCTGTAAAAACGCCCCGTGTGCATGAGGACTTATACTCCTGGCACTTTAAAAGCCATAATCCAGATCATACCAGACCTGGCTTCTAGTTTAAGAGCGGGGAAATTTTTGTCTAGAAGGGTTTCTTTGGGATGATGCAAGTCTCTTCCATGTGACATTTCCACCCCACGCTCTGCCTTCACCTATACTTCAGATAGACTTCAAGGTCACCCCACTCCCAGCATCCACATTCCCCTTTCCTTCTGCCACATGCCTTCATATACCAAACCTTGCAAACCATAGCCTACTTCCCATCCTCTGCATTCATATCTCGTATACTGAACCCTAAGCATCCACCACATCTGTACCCCATCCCTAGCATCTCCATACCACAATAAACATAGTAAGAATTACAAATTGATGCATGGGTGGCATGCATGAATCCTCACTATGCCTAAACAATTGCAGTGCAAACACTCCCACTGTAAGGCTGATCTATAATTTCAGATGCTTTTTAATGTGATCACTTAGCCTGTTAGGGACCAAGTAAAGGTTCTCTGGACAGTCCATCTCCACAGCTATTAACACCTCCTCCATCCCCCATTTGTGGCTCACATTCAGGAAATGTGCACAAAAAAGGAGGTTTCATATGCTTGCCTGAAGCTCTTCTTTATTAAAGAAAATGCAAGGGCTGTGGCATAATTTCATATATACTTTAAATATAAAACTGAATTAATAGGCACAATCAGCAAGCACATTCATTAAGCCTCATCTCATTTTTAGAAATTCTAGAATCTTCTTGGCATTCTCTGTATTCCAGCCTTGTCCACTTAGAGGACCTTCACAAACACTAATATAAGTGTCCAAAACTTTCTCCCCAACTTCTTTAAAGTTCAGGATTTTGTGGTGCGTCTCAGAATCAGATCCAGGTTGGATGGCTGAACAGTAGCTGAGGGCCCAGAAACACATCTCTCCACAGTACATCAAAGCCAGGACATGGACGTCGCTGAAGATACCTAAGAGGGAAGTAATGCATGGTTATTATCAAGAACATTCACAAGAGTTTACAAAATGTACATGTATTAAAAAAAAAGAAAAAAAAAAAAAAAAAAAAGGATTGTCAATATGCCAACATTAAATGGAAGTCCACCCAAAACTCATATCCCAGTTTGTGGTAGATGCTAGAGAGGTAAAGCACCTGATTTCTGCATAAGTTGTTGCGGCCATTATAAGGAGGTCTTGCTCTCCTGCTGTATTTTTAGTTTATTTTACATTATGAAAAATGCAACTGGAACACACAAAGTTTGCCGGGAAAACTATCAGAGAATATGGAGCCCACCACTGCTTACTCGCCACTTAATGATTGAGTGTCTCCAAGTTGCCGAAGTGACGGGAGTCGCTTTGGGTGGGGGGCCCATGGAACACAGCCCCTTTGGAGAGGTGGGGAGACCCCTGTCTCAGCTCCCCATATCCCCATTATGTGTAAGTCACCCTGTGCCTGTTAGGGGTACAGGGTGAAATGTGCTAATATTGGTGTGGGGGTTGTTCATTGTTCACTGCCATGTGGCTGCATCCCATTGTTCTAGCAAAACTATTATGGGATGTAATGTTTGTGTATGGTGTGGGGGTTGGTCATTGTTCACTGCCATGTGGTGCATCCCATTGTTCTATTGTGTGTCTTGCTTGGAAGCAACTGGTGTGGGGGTTGGTATTATGGGATGTAATGTTTGGGATGTAATGTTTCTGGCAGCCCTTCTCCCTGATGGGACGGCCTGCTGATGTGTTTCCTGTTACTGGGTGTATTGCCACGCCCTGTGTATATATCTTGTTTCTATGTTAAAATAAAGCAGTTTATTTCCGGTCTTTCATACGAGTCTGGTGCTGTCTCGTCCTGTTTGGTCAGCGGTGGTGTCCGTGGATCTGTGTTCGGACAGGGAAGCTGGAGTCTAACGGAAATACCCAAGTGCAGTCTGGGTCCGGATCCATTACAGCACAGTTTTAGGCTTTGTTCACAAATATGTACTATAGTGCATGTCCATACAAGGCCCACCGGGATGCACAGGTATTCCATGCTATAGGCAGTCCCAGTCATGTCCACAGAAAAGTTTGTTCTAACACTCAGCGCTCAAACTGTTCTACATCTGATGGTGTCACAACCCTTAATGCTTCGTCTAGTGCAGCCCTCCTCAGACCGAGAAATCTCCAAAAGAACTATAAAAAACACACAGGAGGGTGCAAATGTCTAGTACATTACCATCACCACCATTTAGCGGATCTAAAAAAACCTTTGGCGTACATAGTCACACATTACCGCCTACAGCTGGAGTTGTGTTTGATACGCCTGTTCCTTTTTATGCTTGTAAGTAGGTTTTTGTCTTTTGGATCCAATAAACGTTGGTGGTGGTAATGCACTAGGCTTTTGCTCCTGCTGCGTGTTTTTAAAGTCCTATTTATGTCACTCAGACACTACTCCCAATTTGACAGCCGTGAACATTGTAATGTTTAATTGGAATAAGTGACTTCACTGACCAGCAGAATTCACTTGAGAAAAAAATTGGTCCCCACCTCCTCAAAACTAATATAGCTGCCTTTACTGCCAAAATCGTCTCCATATCTAACAGCAGCTTTTTTACCTGAAGTCCAAGTGGTTACAATTTGGCCCTATAAAAATCTACAGACACTAAACATCAGCTCAGAGGAGTAAGGGAAGAAGTGTAAAAAACTTTTGTGAAAATTTGCTTACCCTTTAACCGCTTACCGGCCGCCCTATAGCAGAAGTACTGCTACAGGTTGGCACGGGTGCGCTAAAATCACGCATATATACGTGATTTTGCAGTTCCGGGTAGGGGACACAAGCCGCGTGCACCCTACCTGTCAATTCGCGGCTTCGGCTGTCAATCACCCGGTCCCGACCGGTAATTATTCGCTGGTGCTCGGTGATTTTCCGCGATCACCGACGGGGAGGAAGGCAGTTTTGTTTACGAACAGTGGATGGCTGTGCACAGCACAGCCATCCACAGCAGTGTGCTTACAGTGAATCACCAACACACCGCCCTCTAGTAAAACACTCCCTTTCACATAGTTAATCCTTTGATCGCCCCTCATGTTAACCCCTTCCTCCCCAGTGCCATTAGTACAGTGTCAGTGCTTTTTTTAGCACTGATCACTGTATTGGTGTCAATGGGGATTTCAGTGACACCAAGTCAGTTCCCCCCAGTGTCAGAATGTCCATCGCAGTCCCGCAATAAGTCGCTGATCGCCGCCATTAGTAGTTGAAAATAAAATAAAAATTCCAGTATCTATAGAGCCATTTTGTAAATGCAATAACTTGCACGTAAACCAATTAATTTACAAGTATTGGGATTTTTTTTTAGCAAAGACATGTAGCTGAATACATTTCGGCGAAAATGTACGACGAAATTAGATTTTTTAAATTTTTTTTACTGGATATGTTTAATAGCAAAAAGGAAAAAATAAAAAACGGCAAAAAATAAAAAACGGCACAGGTGATCAAATACCACCGAAAGAAAGCTCAATTTGTGGGAAAAAAAAGTAATAAATTTAATTTGGGTGCAACGTTGCATGACCGCGTAATTGTCAGTTAAAGTAACGCAAAAAATGGCCTGGTCAGGAAGGTGGGTAAATCCTCAGGAGGGAGCTCCAGTCAAAATGTAAAAAAACATAAAAGTCGGCAACTACAAAAACTGTAGCTGCTGACTTTTAAAAAAAACAGACTCACCTGTCCCTCAATCCAGCGGTGTGCTCACCACAGCCGGTTTTATAGGCCGTCCTCTTGCTCGGCTGTGACAGCTCCCCTTGGGTGGAGCTCCGCCTTAAGGTCAATATCAATAACAGCTATGGTTATATCAATACTAGCTACTGTACCTTTAGCCAACAATGTGGCCGTATTTATGTCCTTAAATGAAACCTCGTTGTTCAGTTGTATAGGACTTCTTGTCTTCAGCATTTTTAGTAGATAGTAAACACCATCCTTGAGACACTGGAAAAACATATGATGGCAGTGTAAGTATTGAAACAGGATAAAAATAGAAAAAAAGAGGGCTTTTGATTGGTCAGCTCTATCACATGGATGGTGCTGACCAATCAGTAGCTGTCTAGGCCCATATGGTCATCCCTGCAAAAGAGAGGAGAGAAGCCGCAGGGATATCAAATCCCCAGACCTGTGAAGCAGTTTTTTCTCCTCTCCTTGCAATGATGAAAGTATGGGCTCAACAGCTTCTGATTGGTCAGCACTGTCCATGTGACGGTACTGACCAATTAAAAGCCCTCTAGCCCGAACTATCATCCTTGCAAGGAGGAGAGCAAGCAGCAGAGATTTCTAATCCATGTGGCTTTCTTTCCTCTCCTACAGCTGAGAATTCATCAGGAAAGGCTTGCAGCTTCTCGGTGCATAAATATGCGCATGTGCAGACTAGCAACGGGCCAGGCAGATGTGCACAAATAAGGGCATACAGTGAGGAACAGAAGTATTTGAACATCCTGCGATTTTGCAAGTTCTCCCACTTAGAAATCATGGAGGGGTCTGAAATTCACATTGTAGGTGCATTCCCACTCTGAGAGACTGAATTTAAAAAAAAATTCAGGAAATCACATTGTATGATTTTTAAAGAATTTATTTGTCTTGCACTGCTGAACATAAGTATTTGAACACCTGAGAAACAGCAAGAATTCTGGCTCTCAAAGACCTGTTACTGTGCCTTTAAAAATTCCACCTCTACTCCACTCAATCTAACTTAGTAACACCTGTCTGAGCTCTTTAAAGACACCTGTCCACCCTACAGTCAGTCAGACGCCAACTACTACCATGGGCAAGACCAAAGAGCTGTCAAAAGACACCAGAGACAAAATTGTGGACCTCCACAAGGCTGGAAAGGGCTACGGGGCAATTGCCAAGCAACTTGGTGAAAAAGATCATCTGTTGGAGCAATTGGAAGAGGCTAAAGACGACTGTCAGTCTCCCTCGGACTGGGGCTCCATGCAAGATCTCACCTCGTGGGGTATCACTGAAAGGTGAGGAATCAGCCCAGAACTACAAGGGAGGAGCTGGTCAATGACATGAAGAGAGCTGGGACCACAGTTTCAAAGGTCACTGTTGGTAGAACAATACGCCGTCATGGTTTCAAATCATGCATTGCACGGAAGGTTCCCTTGCTCAAGTCATCACATGTCCAGGCCCGTCTGAAGTTTGCCAATGGCCATCTGGATGATCCAGAGGAGGCATGGGAGAAAGTCATGTGGTCAGATGAGACCAAAGTAGAACTTTTTAGTCTAAACTTCACTCGTCGGGTTTGGAGGAAAAAGAAGGATGAGTTGCATCCCAAGAACACCATCCCTACTGTGAAGCATGGGGGTGGTAACATCATGGTTTGGGGGTGCTTTTCTGCGAAGGGGACAGGACGACTGTACTGTATTAAGGAGAGGATGAATGGGGCCATTTATTGTGAGATTTTGAGCAACAACCTCCTTCCCTCAGTCAGAGCATTGAAGATGGGTCGTGGCTGGGTCTTCCAACATGACAACGACCCGAAGCACACAACCAGGATAACCAAGGAGTGGCTCCGTAAGAAGCATATCAAGGTTCTGGAGTGGCCTAGCCAGTCTCCAGGCTTAAATCCAATAGAACCTCTTTGAAGGGAGCTGAAACTCCGTGTTGCTCAACGACAGCCCCGAAACCTGACAGATCTAGAGGAGATCTGTGTGGAGGAGTGGGCCAAAATCCCTGTTGCAGTGTGTGCAAACCTGGTCAAGAACTACAGGAAACGTTTGACCTCTGTAATTGCAAACAAAGGCTTCTGTACCAAATATTAACACTGATTTTCTCAGGTGTTCAAATACTTATGTTCAGCAGTGCAAGACAAATAAATTCTTTAAAAATCATACAATGTGATTTCCTGAATTTTTTTTTAATTCTGTCTCTCAGAGTGGGAATGCACCTACAATGTGAATTTCAGACCCCTCCATGATTTCTAAGTGGGAGAACTTGCAAAATTGCAGGGTGTTCAAATACTTCTGTTCCTCACTGTAGGTGCGTGCAGTTGCGCGTGGGCATGCACACTCGCACATATGGGAGCGTACCTGTCACCAAGGCTGGTGCCAATCGGCTTATTTAAGTGGAACTACTGCCAATTGCTGTTTGGTCTGCAGCTTCTGTGTGTGTATATCCTGATTCCTGTGTTCTGACCTCTGATTTTGACCGAAGTTGCTCCTGACACTGCTTGTCTGCTACCTGCCCTGACTTCAGCTTGTTCTCCAGATTCTGCCTCTGCCTGATCCGCCTCCACCGCTGCGGACATTGGCCTGTAACCCGACTTCTCTCCTGTCTGCAGCCTTTGCCTGATCTGCCAGTCTGTTGCGGACCCGGCTTGCATTACCCTGCATCCTGTTCAACCAGCCTGCTACAGCTCTGTAGTCCAGCACGCTCCTATTTGATTCATCGGCCTGCTATCAGCCTGCCTTGCTGTGATATCTGCCTGCTGCCAACCTACTCTGACGAGACATCTGCCTACCACTTACTGCTCTGTTCCTGGCATCCTTTCAGCAAAGGGACAGCTATTACCCACACAGACTACTGGACTGCTTCACTAAAGCTGGCCATACATTATACAGTTTCCTTATTCAATTTCCTTTAGATTTACCTTTAACGATGTAGTGCAAGGGCCTGCCTGATCGTATACAAACTGAAAGCGTTTAGGTATGACCCCATAATATAAGGTCATGGTAAATTTAAAGGAAAATTGTACATAAAAAATTGTATAATGTACAGTGGATATAAAAAGTCTGCACACACGTTAAAATGTCAGGTTTCTGTTGCAAAAAAAAATGAGACAAAGATAAATTTCAGAACTTTTTCCACCTTTAATGTGGTCTATAAACTGTACAACTCCTTTGAAAAACAAATCTTTTAGGGGGAGGAAGAAAACATAAAAAAAAAACTATAATAATGTGTTTGCATAAGTGTGCACACCCTCTTATAACTGGGGATGTAGCGGTGTTCAGAATTAACCAATCACATTCAAAATCATGTTAAATAGGAGTCAGTACAAACCTGCCATCATTTAAAGTGCCTCTGATTAACCCCAAATAAAGTTCAGTTGTTCTAGTAGGTCTTTCCTGACATTTTCTTAGTCGCATCCTACAGCAAAAGCCTTGGTCCGCAGAGAGCTTCTAAAGCATCAGAGGGATCTCATTGTTAAAAGGTATCAGTCAGGAGAAGGGTACAAAAGAATTTCCAAGGCATTAGATATACCATGGAACACAGTGAAGATAGTCATCATCGAGTGGAGAAAATAAAAGAGTGGCATTACCAGGAATGGACTCCAAAATTCATGAAAAACTGAGAATAAAACTGGTCTGGGAGGTTGCCAAGAGGCCAACAGCAAGATTAAAAGAGCTGCAGGAATATCTGGCAAGTACTGGCTGTGTGGTACATGTGACAACAATCTCCTGTATTCTTCATATGTCTGGGCTCTGGGGTGGAGTGGCAAGATGGAAGCCTTTTCTTATGAAGAAAAACATCCAAGCCCGGCTAAAATTTTGCAAAAACACATCTGAAGTCTCCCAAAAGCATGTGGGAAAATGTGTTCTGGTCTGATGAAACCAAGATTGAAAGTTTGGCCATAATTCCAAAAGATATGTTTGGCGCAAAAAACAACACTGCACATCACCAAAAGAATACCATACCCACAGTGAAGCATGGTGGTGGCAGCATCATGCTTTGGGGCTATTTTTCTTCAGCTGGAACTGGGGCCTTAGCCAAGGAGGAGGGAATTATGAACAGTTCCAAATACCAGCCAATATTGGCACAAAATCTTCAGGCTTCTGCTAGAAAGCTGAACATGAAGAGGAACTTAATCTTCTTTCAGCATGACAACGACCCAAAGCATACATCCAAATCAACAAAGGAATGGCTTCACCAGATTAAAGTTTTGGAATGGCCCAGCCAGAGCCCAGACCTGAATGTGATCGAAAATCTGTGGGGTGATCTGAAGAGGGCTGTGCACAGGAGATGCCCCTCACAATCTGACAGATTTGGAGTGTTTTTGCAAGGAAGAGTGGACAAATATTGCCAAGTCAAGATGTGCCATGCTGATAGACTCATACCCAAAAAGACTGAGTGCTGGAATAAAATCAAAAGGTGCTTCAACAAAGTATTCGTTTAAGGGTGTGCACACTTATGCAACCATATTATTTTAGTTTTTGATTTTTACTTTCCTCCACCTTTCAGTTTGTTGTTCAACTGAGTGGTATAGTTTAAAGGTCACATTAAAAAAGGCAAAAAAAGTTCTGAAATGATTTTACTTTGTCTCTTTTTTTTTACATCACAGAAACCTGACATTTTAACAGGGGTGTGTAGACTTTTTATATCCACTGTATGGCCAGCCTTAGTCTAAAATATGGTGAGAAATAAATAAAACCAGGGTTTTTTTTTTTTTTTAACAATTGTATTAGCATGGAAACGTAGGAGCCAGGAAATAAAGCAAAACTAAACTCCAGTTGGTTTATGTCATAATGTGCTAGTATGCAACACATACTAGGGCAATATGACAGACCCACCTGTGAAATGAAACCCTCCAGCGCTGTGATGTCAGTGCTCCAGCTGCTAAGGGGTGCTTCAATCTTCACCTGGTCTTCCTTCAGGGTTTGCTCTGTTTGGCAGCGATGACATTAATCCTGCGCTTGCACACAGGAATCAGATCATCACAGCACAGAGCTGTGTTGTATATGTACTCTGAGCTGCGCATACGCGGCTCAGTGTACATTACCACTGACAGGCATTAGTGTACATTATCACTCTGTTATAAAAATAAAAACCCTGCTTGTCAGAATTGTGAATTTAATTCCGCTTTAAAGACAAATGAAAGAGAATGAAAGCATTCGGCTCAGTACACAAATTTAGTAACACTTCAGGAAGCTCGAACTCAAAGCTACCCTAAAGCTTAAATAGGCTGGCTGCAACAGACATCTCTACAATATTAATGCCTATCTTTATGTATGAGAAACTGCCTTTAAAGTAGAAAAACAATGATCCTCTGAATGTCATAAATAGAGCAAAATACAAATATCTTGTCATTGTGATATACATACCAAAAAAATGATTAATATATGTCGGGCTCCCAATCTGAGTGAAAATATAAAAAATATATATAAATCAGCTCAATAAATCCCTAAAACATAATCTAAATCCTGGGGGAGGGGCTACGACGTCACAGACCATTTGTGGACAGCGAGTATACACAGAGCACGCTGTAATCAGCTATAGATTTTAACAAAGCGATTTTAAATGATATTGAATGTGAGGGCATTTAGGCACATAATAAAGTAATTCAACTTTAAGAGCATAAGGCACTATTTTTGCATTTCTCTCCCACTGAGGAACACCTAAGGAGGAAAACAAGAGAGTAGCAGCAGCAGAGAGAGATCCCTGCGGGGATAGCAGTACGGGGAGCCAACTGACAGATACCCACCACCCTTCATATGATGCAACACAGGTTTCAAAAGCTCCATAAGTGAACAAAAAGCACAGTAAGCCTGTCATAGTCTAATAAGGAGGTGAGCGCACAACTTAATCACACTAAGGAATCACCGGAAATTTATATTTTATTTGAATTACATCACTAGGAGTTATCACCTTATTTCAACAGAGACATCTTTGCATTTTTCAATATTTATTTTTATAGTAGTCACTATATATTTATTTGATCACATTGTTTTTGGATTTGATCATTTAGATGTTTTTTTGTTATTATTTAGATTATGTTTTAGTGATTTATTGAGCCGATTTATATATACCCGTATTTTCCGGCGTATAAGGCGACTGGGTGTATAAGACGACCCCCTAATTTTCCAGTTAAAACATAGGTTTTGGGCTATACTTGCCATATAAGACTACCCCCCTTCCGAGGTAAACACCATTTAAAAACATCAGATTTTTTAATTGAAATGGTTATGACTTACCAGTACTTAAAATCCTTCAAAATCCTCATGTTCATCCTCTGACATCATAAGTTCATGAATGACATCTTGTGATACATTTGTAAGACAGTCATCATATGGATCAAATTCCAAATCAGATGGTTACTGCTGGATGTGAGGTAATACGGTAGCTTCGGCAACATACAGTATACAGTATATATACAGCCCGCTGGATGTGCAGTAATGTACATACAGTATACCGTGCTGAGCCAAGCTGGCTCAAAACAAATGTCCCTATGACAGATTAATCTGTCAGCCCGCTGGATGTGCGGTATATACAGTACACTGCGCTGAGCCAAGTGGTTTCAAAATGTACCGGTACGTCCCTACTGTAATCAGCCCGCTGCTGGATGTGTATGTACGGTAGCTGCGGCTACATACAGTATACACTGGGCCAATCACACGGTGAGTGATGTATTCTACTAATGAATACAAAGACTGTTTTGTTTTGAGCCAGCTTGGCTCAGCACGGTATACTGTATGTACATTACTGCACATCCAGCCAGCTTGACCCAAACAAACTCAAGGTTCACATTTTATACCCCGCGTATAAGACGACCCCCAATTTTTGGGGTATATTTTTAACCACTTCCAGATCGGACACTTTTACCCCCTTCCTGACCAGGGCAATTTTCAGCTTTTAGCGCTATCACACTTTGAATGACAATTGCGCGGTCATGCAACACTGTACCAAAATGAATTTTTTACCATTTTTTTGAGACAGATAAAGCTTTATTTTGGTGGTATTTATTCACCACTGCGATTTGTATTTTTTTTGCTATGTAAATGAAATGTCCAAAAATTTTGAAAAAAAGTGTTTTTTTTTTTTATAAACTTTTGCAAATAAATAATATTTCATTATAAATCTTAGCCAAAATTTATTCCGTTATCTTTTTAGTAAAAAAAAAAATCCAAATTAGTTTATAACCAAACATTATAATTTTTAAACATTTTTTTTTTACATTTTTATATTATTTTTTTTTTTTTTTTTTACATACTGTCACCCTAGCAGTACAGTGTCACCATGGTGACACTGTACTACTTGTGGGGGGGTGATGAAGATTTTTTTTTTTTTTTTTTTTACACCGATTGCTTTTACACCCATATAGGATGTAAAAGCAATCATTTCTCTTTCTCTCTGTGTGCATTCTTGCACTCATTGAGAAGTACTGAGTGAGCTGTGATTGGTCACACCGCTTGTCACATGGTACAAGGCTTTTGTGAATAGCCTTGTACCATGTGACCTCTGTGATCATTCACAGATTTCACACGTAGTAAGCAATGATGTCAGAAGTGACATCTTGCTTACTACTTTGCATGTGATCACTGATTGGCCAATCAGTGATCACATGATCGGGACCTCGTACAGAGGTCCCGTCCGACGATCGGTGTTTCACTGTGTCCGGAGGACACAGCGGGCACCGGATCGTGGTGCTGCGCGCTCCCAGGGGAGCGCGCACAAGCAGGGTGCGGGGAGGCCGTTTATAAATGGCCACCCGACCCTGCAGTGCCACCGTCCGGCCGTTTATATACAACGGCCGGTCGGGAAGTGGTTAAGCATAAAAAGTAGTCTTATACGCCAGAAAACACTGGTATTTTTTATATTTTCACTCAGATTGGGAGCTCAACATATATTAATCATTTTTTCGGTACTTATATACACATGAATAGAGGTTGTGTTTGATGTCAGCGCACCTGTATTGATTTTAATTAGTGGCTCACAAGTAACACTCAATTCTGGCATTGTGATATACATATCCTTAGAGTCTACATGAATCCATAAATATCTAAACATGGTGCAATCCAAATCCACAGATATGTGTTTAAATGGATTAAGTGGATCTGCAGGGTAAATTGTATAGGGCATTTTACAGCACACAGTATATTCAAACAAATGTATCACAGGCAAATAAGGAAATATACCTGCAGTGCTAAGCCAGAAGATTATTCATTGGTTATCTTATAGTGTTGTAAGTCACAGCTTCCACAAGGAACCTCAATGAGAGATTCTGTCTCTTTAGCTGCCTCTTATGCGTGTCTATAGAGTTGTCTTTTGGTTGTTGTGTTTACCTGGTGAAAAGTTCTCTGATCGCTCAGATTCCAGCTCTCTCTCTCACCCACCGTATGACAGTACATGTACAGCAAAGCTCCTCGCCTCCAGTGCAGACATTCCTCAACATCCATATCAAGGAGGAAACGCTGAAAAAACACAAAATCACAATTATAGCTGAAATAATAAGGCAACCATCTGTACAACATAAAATACTGGGGGACCTTTCTTATCTTCAGCTGCATGTTTTATAAAACATCCTCTAAAACAACAGATGCTATAATTCCTAACTAAAGGGCTTTTTAGACTGAGCTATAATGTGGACACCCTCACTTACATTTAACAGCCAATAAGAAACAAGGAGGTTGTTTTCATTTTTGCTTTAATTTTTACTTGTCCTCCAATTTAAAGGGGAACTAAACCTTCTTATTCTTTACAGCCAAGGAAGCTACCATCTTAGCCTCTGTCTGATCTGCAGTTGCCATGGTGCTGCACATGTGAGCAACTATGACACCAGCCATAAAAATACACGTCACCACATGTCAATGGAAGATAATGTACATCTTTTTTCAAACATTTACAGTTTCTCACAGAAGTGAGTACACCCCTCACATTTTGTAAATATTTTATTCTATCTTTTCATGTGACAACACTGAAGAAATTACACTTTGTTACAATGTAAAGTAGTGAGTGTACAGCTTGTATAACAGTGTAAATTTGCTGTCCCCTCAAAATAACTCAACACAGCCATTAATGTCTAAACCGCTGGCAACAAAAGTGAGCACACCCCTAAGTAACAATGTTCAAATTGGGCCCAAGTAGCCATTTTCCCTCCCCGATGTCATGTGACTCATGGTCTCAGGTGTGAATGGGGAGCAGGCATGTTAAATTTTGTGTTATCACTCTCACTCTCTCATACCGGTCACTGGAAGTTCAACATGACACCTCATGGCAAAGAACTCTCTGTGGATTTGAAAAAAAGAATTCTTGCTCTACATAAAGTAGGTCAGTGATATGATGCTGCCATACTGAGACTGCCCGACACCCCACAGCGAACCGGATCTGCCGGTATCTGATGGTCAGCGCTGAGGAAGTGCCTGCGGAGCCTGGTCCCGCTGCATCCCCTAGTTCCGGAGGAGGGATACGATTCCTCCAGAGTGTGCTTCACCCACTGGTTCGGGCGTAGTGGTGTGCACGTGGTGCTGGTGCCGTAGTTCAATAATGGACCGCGCCGGAGTTGTGGGAAATCCCTGCAGTGGGAGCAAGGCAGAGACGCAAGGCTGAGAGGGGTCTGGTGAAAAAAAAACAAAAAAACACCGACCAAGAAAGCCGTTTAGCAGGGAGCGGACGTCCCCAGAGCCTGGGGAGAGACAGGGTGTCTGTTCACAGTCTGTTACTACATGTCATTGGAGATCGGTGAAGTCTGAGGAGAGGAAGAAGGAGATATCCCTGGGGAGGACTGATCCTGGATGGATCCCAGAAGGGACTGCTAAACCTGGGCTGTAGGGACTGAGTGACCCTGAGACAACCTGGAATAGAGGAAGCACGTAAACCTGAGACACCCACAAACCAACCACACAGGATGGAGTGAGCTGCCACCTAGGTCCCCCCACAAGGTGAACCCACTTACAAGAAGGAGGAGTCAGAAGGCATATGACCAGTAAACGGAGCCAGCAGTACGGAAGGAGTTGGTGAGTTGCTGTTGGCAACGCCGAGCTGTTTATGCATTGACATTGTTCTATGCTGTTATTAGGATTTCTATGCTTGTGAGGTGGGACCAGGCGAGCAATATATAAAGGTGTGAGGTGTGCTCAGAGGTTAGGAGAAATATCACATTCCCTCCTGAAGTTAACTGGAACTGTACAGGGGCCATCCACAGGTCAGACAACACCAACTGTGATCAGAATAAGCAAAACTAAAAGAAAAAATTTAAGTAAAATGAAAAGTAAATCTGCCAAGGGGAGCGGGGAGAAAACCCCACAGTCAAATGCAAATAGGAGTACCATCAAGAAGTATATGTCCACACGGGAAAAAAGCTCAGAGAAACAAGGCCCTGAGAAACAACATGAAAGGAGTAGGAAGTCTGATGAGGAGCAAACTAGACTGTCATTAGGAAAACAAGATGGAAATTCAACCAATGAATCCATAAATACTGACAGTGTAATACACAAAGTATTTTAGACCAGCACGGTGCTCTCAAATTCCCACAAGAACCGAGATGGCGGAAGTGTTCGCAAAATTGTAACTCTGTATGAAAAATGAAATAGCTGGGATCCATAATGACCTGGGGCGTGTACTACCGAGAGTGGAAGGAGTAGAGGAGGAGAAGATGGACGCCCAGGTCCAGCAACTTGTGAATTTGCAGTCGCAGATAAAATTAAAAAAGAACAGCAGGAACTAGCATACAGATTAGAAGATCAAGAGAACAGAAACAGAAGAAATAATCTGAGGATTCAAGGTTTACCCGAAGTTTCTACAGAAGAGGATCTGAGAGAGAAAGTTGGGAATGTGTTGAATCCATTAATTGGGAGACCAGAGACAGATCCCCTGAAATTAGAAAGAGTACATAGAATAAGGAGACAAACAGGAATTGTATCTGAGTCCCCAAGAGATGTGATTGTACATTTCCATCATTATGCGGACAAAAGAGAAGATCTGGAAAAAATTGAGAGATAGACCCGAAATTAAATACAGAGAGACTAGATTGCAAATATATGCTGATGTAGCCCCAGAGACTTTACCTAGGAGAAGAATGTTGAAACCTCTTTTGGATCAGATGAGAGAGAGAGGAATCCGATACAATGGGGGGTTCCCGGGATGTCTGATTGGATGGAAGGACGGAAAATTGGCTAGGCTAAGATTTCCGGAAGATCTAAGAGATTTTTGTGAAAAACTAGAGTTGCAGATGGTAGATATTGTGAGGTGGGCGGAAAGGTCTAGTGAGAGCTTAGAGTTGAGAAATCATAATTGGCAGCAAGTGAATAAAAGGAGGAAGTGAGAGGGGGTGGTGGGTGGGAGGGGTCGGGGAGAGGTGAGGGATCTTTCTATTTCCGAGCCTACCTCTTCCCTTTGACCGCCTTACCGCTGACCCTTTCTTCGGTTCCGACATCTGGAAGTCTAATAGGATAAGTTATTAAGTATCCCTAATGTGGAGTATGAGGGATCGGGAAAGTTTTCTATTTTCAGAGTCATACCCAAAAATAGGAATCGGTATTGGGGACAACTCACGTCAGATTCCAGGCCATTATGTAGGTCAGGGAGGTTTTAAGGGGGGAATGGGGGGAGAAGGGAGGGGAGGGGGGGAGGAAGGGAGATGGGGGAGGAGATAGTTGTCCATTGCTTGAAAGCTTGGGGCAGGTCTACATGGAATCATGAGAGTAGGAGGGAGGAGGATTAACAAAGAGATATGAGTTTGATTAACATTATGACATATAAATGTGAAAGTGTATATGAAAGACAAAAAAGAGGGCGCACAGGCCTAGTGCATTACCTTAAAAATAGGATTTACTGACAAAAAGTAAATACTCAAAAAAAAAAAATGATGTAAAATCAGATAAACACGGGAAGCATGTCACACGAGATATGCAGTATGGTACAGGAACCCCTGTGGGTGGTCTGGTGGGAGACTGGAAGCCTCTGGATAGCTGGTGGCTGACGCGTTTCAAGGAAGCGCCTCTTCTTCAGAGCCAATGTGTGTGTGTGCACAACCTGAGACCTCTCTTAAATAGACTACAATCTTATGATAATAGAAGGGGGTACACTCCCAAAGGGCGGAAACATCAGGAAGGGGGAGGAGAATGTGAAGGAGGGAGGGAATGAATACATGCATGGAATAGTGAATAGGTGTGCAATTCATAATGGTGTGGGGCAGGTGCCTGGGAGGCTCAAAAGGCAGGATGTATAGAGCCGCCCGGTGAGCTCCGGCAGGAGACAGCCGGCTCGTGGCATCCGTAATGGTATATCCGGTCCCCGTGCGTTCCACGCGGACCAGAAAAGGTAGTATATGCTCCAGTAGGTGGCTGTGTGCAAGTGCGAATGAAGGAGGGGTGGGTGTGTAGAGATCCACCGTGATCTGCTGCGCGTGCGCACCCAGAGTGACAGGGACACTCGGAGTGCCAGAAGCGCATGCGAACACGTGAAAGGGCCGGAGTGAGATGTGTGCCGTCTGTCTATACTGCGCACATATAAGAATCTGCGAGATGACAGTGTCATGTGGGCTAAAGCATGTACAGCACCGAAGGAGTGTGTGTATATGGATGGAGAGGGGGGAGGACTGGAAGAGGGAGGGTATATAAGTATACCACGATGGATGGAAATGATATCCCAAACAGTTTATGTGTATGTGTGAAAATCAAAAATCAAAAGGAAACAAGGAGGGGATGGGGGGGGGGGGGGGGGGGGATACATAATGGTATAGTCGATACATCTCAGTATGTAAATGGAGGAAAAAAAAAAAAGGGGGGGGGGGGCGCAAATGAATAAAAATAATAAATGATAATAATAATAATGCAAAATGAATGAAAAATGAATAGTGTACCATTGCGTAACATATACATGTATATGTGTACGTATACATGCATATTTGCATACATACAGGAGTTTAAGGGTCGTTTCATACGTATGCAGTAGTAGAATGATTGAAAGAGGGACAGGCACACACTACTCTGGGATCCCATCTCAGAGCGAACACATGAAAACAATAATAATGATGATAACAATGATAATAATAATAGCAACAATAATAACAATGGTGATAATAATAGTGGCAATGATAATGATGGTAGGAATGCATACACATGTATAAAAACACACACCCACATACACACGTGTATACATAAAAATCTCTATGGTTAATACGTGGAATGAATAAAATATATATAAAATGTATCAATGGATCATCTAAAAATTGTAAATGAACAATATTAAAAAAATAAAAATAAATGAATGGACATGTATATAGTGATATAATGTAATAGAGAACAATAGAAACATGAAAAAAAAATAATATATATAAAAATATATATATTTGCACATATGCATGCGCGCACACACACACACAAATGTATACCTACACGTATACATACACACATACATATATCCCACACCATAAGTATAAGGCGTTGGACAAGGTCCTAAGTATTTTCAAAAT